GATGACCTAAAGGTCGAAACGTGCGTCCTCCATAAACATACTGGATTGATTGACGTAAGTTGTTATTATTAAGTTAAACATCAATCCGTTTGCTACGAATCAATCATGATTAATGGAATAGTTAATAATTAAATGTAATAACCTTGAATAGTGCAAGTATATTGCATTGCTCATTAGACAAAAAATATAGGTGATAAGCAATAGTTTACAAAAATGTTATAATCTTTGTAAAACAAATAGATACAAAGCTAGTGATACAAACAGATTAAAAGTGAACTTTAAAATGTACTCCACATAAAATACTGAGATCCATGGAGGATGGTGTATGTTTGGTAAGCGATGTTGAGCCAGTCTTTGGTTAGTTACAACTATTACCAGTTTACTAAAGTAATGACAGGCATAGCAGAAATTAAACTGTATTAGAAACTTTCCTAATGAATAAGTCTGACAATTGAAGGGCGAAAAAATGTACTCCCCACATTTAATATTGGATAAGATATGTCCATTTTTGTTTTAAAAAGTTTATATGATTTTCATCTCTCCAAACCCAAACTTCAGATGTTAGAGATCATAGAACAAATATGCTTCAATAGACCTGCAGGAAATGCATCGTCCATCCCCAAATAAAACATACCCACTTATAGCCCTCATGAATCAGCTGGCATCAATTGTTAAGCATGTTTCTGCTTGGCCTATGTAGGGCTTTTTTTGTTTACTACATTACAACAAAACAATGTATGGTGTTGAAACAATGGGCGTTGAAACTCGGGATGGGTTTTTTATTTCATGCAATTCAACCAACTTAAACAATATTTTAACTTAATTCAACAATGTTTATGGAAACTATCGCTTGTCATCTTGTTCATAAACCAACAAAAAATTAAATCCTAGAAAATCCACACGAAAACACATTCTAAAATAAGTTTAAAAGTTTAATTCTACTTTATTGGCTCATAATAATTTAACATCTAATCTTTGTATTGTGTAACTGTGTGGTTTAGGTTGTCCAAAAAGGGTAGTCGAAAGTCCAAAAACAAACGTACAGTAAAATTTTGTTTTGTAAAAAAACTTAGAGTGAGTTGAAAAAAAAACTTGTTATTGGCTAGTTACGTTAGGTGGGAGTCTGTAAATGGTTAAAATGAAAGTATTCCATAACATTTATATCATAGAGTTTTTATAACAATACAACTTGATGGTACTTCAACAGTTTTGGTTAAAATGCTTGCATGAATATGAATAATAAACAGATTTTAACCTAGCCTTTTGTTGAATCCAACAAAACGAATTACGGCTTAATCCTTTACTCGGATTTGTTTTTGCACCGCGTTCTAGTTTTCTTTTGCATCTTTCACAACACACTGATTAATCCATGACGTCATGTCGGTCACCAAGCTACCTAAATTCATATTTATCCTACCTTTTATGAATTGCGTATCAACAACTGTTGGTTCTCATCTTATTTCCTTCTTCACTTATGCGAAGATCCATGATTTGAGATCTTAGAAGTAAAATCTTTGAATAGTAGGACCAGACATCACATTTTAAAGTGATTTTCAGTTTAGAAATTAAATTTAATGAATTCGCATTGAGCTACCGTCGGAGTGAATTTTGACGTATTCTTTCTCATTTATTCGATAATGGCCTTCCAATTTCAAACCGTATAGAACCTCTTTTATCACGTCAACTATCATGGTAACAAAGACTATGGGAAAAAATACATTTTTTTGTGACACACCCTGTGATTGACTCTTTCAACTATCTTCTCTACCGTTACAGCGGGTTGATTAAAATATGATATCTCTACTTCAAAATCCAAATACAAAGGTAATACATGTTCAACTACCAGTCCAAATTTCCGTGTTTGGGTTGGTAATAAACCCAGTTTACCCGGGAAATACCACACTTACCATTCAACCACGTGTGTTATATTATGGTAGGCGTAGAAAGTGGTCAGTTGCTCCACATTCCTAGTAGCTCTGTGTTACGTCAGACCTTGCGGAAGTAGACACTTCCCAGACCCTCCTTTAACTTGCGACACTGTGCGGGAATGTGGCTGTAGGCCAATGACTAAAGAGACATTTTTACAGGTTTCATTTGTAAAGAGTTCGCTGAATGAGTTTTTAGGACCAGTTTTTACAGAAAGTAAGGAATATCAGTATTTTTTAACTGTTGAGCTATATTATTACAGTTATATTACTGAATCATAGTGAGGTGAGGACGCAATATGGGGGTATTCTAACCCAAATATGAGTGAATGAATGATTAGTGAGATGCCTTGTGTATATTTGATCTAACAAAAAACCACTAAGTGGTAACACTTTCCCCGCCAAGTCAGCAACCCAAAAAAGACAATAAATCACCACTTTTCCGCCAAGTAAAACAATGTAATGTATGTGAGTTTGGCAACTTGGCGGCAGACTTTTGCTTGTTTTTTTTTCATTAAAGTTACGTTGGTGGATAATTTCACAAATCAACTTCTCTAATTAATTAGTCCAACTAAGTATAATAATTTCGAGGTAATCAGTAAATATAAAACCATCACTATTATGATTTTATGAAATGTGACACAAATAAGGTCAAATTTTGTAAAATAAGCTCTCATCTAGCAATGTACTATTGGGAGAGATACTTGCTCAATGAAACTAATTTTATGGTATTTTTTAAAGTGATCAAGCAAAAGTCTGCCGCCAAGTGGCCAAACTTACATACATTACATTGTTTTACTTGGCGGAAAAGTGGTGATTTATTGTCTTTTTTGGGTTGCTGACTTGGCGGGGAAAGTGTTACCACTTAGTGGTTTTTTGTTAGATTGTATTTATTTTTGTAGAAAATTAACAGTTAAAATAAAAATCCTCTTTTCTCTTATATATAGACCAGGGCACAACTACACATAAAATGCATTGGTGTTACATAAGTGTTCCGATAATTAAACCCGTATATCTAAAGACTAGTGTAAATTGAGCCCTTATTAGAGAAGTAAAAATGTAATCAAACAGATTAGGTTTGTTAGAAATAGCATAAGGCAAAACAAATATTGAAAAACTCATTTATCCTAAATTTACATATCACTTTTTACATTCACTTTTTTGCTTGTTTAACATACGTAGACGGATTTTCCCGATTGTTTTATTTGTTTTAGTGTATCAAAACATAAAACTAACCTTATTTAGTTAAATAAATTTTGGCAATATTATGAAGAAACAATGTTAAAACTAACCTTTACTAGTACTAAGTTTCAAGTTCCTAGGTTTCATATGTTTTGATAAGTAGTATTAAACTGTTAAAAATGACGAGCTGCTGTACCAGTGTACCATCGGTACACTGCATTTTTCAATGGAAAGTATCGGGGAATATCACTGCTCTAAGTAATTTTATATAGTAAGTAGCTCAAATCATTCGGTATACCTGAAAAAAATACTTTATAAAAGTTTTAAAATAATTTTTCAGCTGATCCTATGAATTTCTCTAACATTTTAAATTAATTGAGATTTAATCGCAGCTGATCCTTCTTTTGTTTTGATTTTAATCCCATGTTATTTAAATGGGCCAAAATCGTACTTTGAGGGCTTGCCAAGGGTTTATGGGTCAACGCACCGACTTGTGACCCTCAAAAGGCACATCTACACGCTAAGGGCTTTCAAACAACATAAAAAACATTAAAATTGAGCCAGTGGTTTGGGCTGTAGGTCCGTCAACATTTAAGGATAAGAAGGAGAACACGGAAAATTTGTGAATTTTCAAACTAGTTTTTCTTGGCTCAAACACAACCTTTTTTTAAATTCTTTTTTTTATTTTGCCAAGAATGATTGCCCCTATCCAGTGGATGAACAATTATTTTAATAGCTTTTGTTTCTTCAGAGCTATAGACGAGTAAAAAAGCCACTTTGTCACGTCATGTATATATACACTGCAGCAGCTGTGTACCGCTGGGGGACTTGGCGGGGCGGAACGCTGCCGCGTTCCTTAATAGTAAGATCAGCTGTTTTTTTAAGCCAGGATCATTATTAAAGACGTCAACAAGACAGTTGAGTATTTTATTGAATCATCAATAAAAATTTGACCTTTCTCAGGATCGAACCGGTGACCTACAGCTGAGAATGTTTTTGTGAATGCTGTACTGACGTTTTATAGTTTTGTAGTTTATATGCTATCATTGACTTACTATACATTGTTCATTTAGGTAAAGTTGTTGCTCCACCGAGTCGTAAGGCGGGTTTAAATAGATGTAATCCTTGGCAAGTATAGGAAATGGATCCCGGCAGTTTTTGTTTGATTGTGATCTTACAATTATTTATGCTAATCAAGTTGATTAAATTGGCTATTGGTGCTTACGGAATAACACGCTTATCTCAACCCAAGCTATTTAAAGTCACTGCTGAAATACATGCAATTGCTGCACGTATATAACGAATCCAAGAATACTCCAAAGTTGGCATATACACTTTTAATCTAAACTATTTGTAACTATTTATAAATAAAATCGATGATATTTTCAACATGTAACATTGGTTGACTATTGAATCGTTGTAAATAATAAAATTGTGTAATAAGCTGCAAGTAATTATAACTGGAGAATTGATAAGCACATTTCCTTAATAACCTGCCAATGACTGTGATTTTTATAGAATATTTTATAAAACTTTACACTCTGACCTCTTAAGGAACGGGTTTTGAAAGGACATAAACCTTGGACGAGTTGTATACGGAGCTCGTTCACTCCTGTAACGGTAAACGAAGCGTTTGACCTATGACATAACACAAACACATTACTCCTAAATAACCTGTTTCCAGGGTCAAATATGTTTTGTTTCAATTCAAAAATAATACAAAGAGGCGTGAAATAGTCAATGAATAATACAATTTATTGACTATTACCTTGTTTATAAAGTCTACCTTCGACTTTGGTAAAAATAATTGGTCATACATACCTGGAGTCACATTATTTCTGTGATATACTCTAAAAACGCTTGCACTTCAGAACTCTAAATAATACAACAACACTATTAACAGATGTATAATTCACAAAATTACTTTACAATTAAATAAACAATCGTAATCCTAATCACTTATTCGAAATTGAAAAATTAAAAAAAGAGCTACAGATTCTAAATAACAGTTGAAGTCAAGTCAGGTCGCACAATATGTACAAGAGATGCTGTGGAGGGGAAGAGGGTCACGAGCGTCACGCGTTTCTTGACAACAACACTCGTAGACGAACATTCGGTCACTTTCACTGAGTCTCCTACACACACGGCGCAGGCGAGGCTTTGGCAACAGTTCACTGGAGGTTCCCAGGAGGTTATACAGGTATTCTGTGGCCTCGGAGGAACGCGTCGATCTGGCCAGCTGCGAGGTTGTTGGACACCTGAGGGTTCACGTAGTAGAACGACTGCACGGCCTCGGGTTGGTAGGAGAAGCGTGTGGGCTGCGCCCTTGGGGGGATCGCCGCCACGGAAGACACCGGGTTTCTAGAAGCTTGGGGCTGGAACGTCTGCGGTTCCTGTTGTAAGAGACTAGCGGGGAATCCCTGACTCTGGAGAGTCCTGGGGTTTTCCAACCTCGCTTCGCTCGCCACCGGCTTTTGCCTCCTCTGCTGCTGGGCGAAGAGCTGTTGGGATTGTGCGAGCTGTTGAGCTTGGCTCTGCTGGAACAGCTGTTGTTGGTATTGCAGAGGCTGGGGCTGTGGCTGGGGTTGACGAGGCAGGAACGGGCTGGATGAAAACGGGCTGTCAACGAATGGCTGAAGTCTTTGTCTCAAATTGACCTCTCCTCCGGCACCCTGTGGAAGTGCTTGGTACAGGACAGTGTTGTACTGGCCTGAAGAAGGATCAAACACGAGCTCAGTGGAGTAGATCGGGTCACTAGTAACTCCCTTGGAAGGCTTGGATGTCGTTGAGACTACATTGTTCTCCAACTGGAACTTCTTGAACTCCTCGTCAAAGTCGATTTGGCCAGAGGAAGGTCTCGATTTGAAAACCGGAGCAGGTGACGCGGTAACTTCTAACAATTGAGGTCTGTATGTGGTCGCGGGTTCTGCGGTGGCAGGTCGAGGAGTGATTCTCACAGCTGTTGTTGCCTTTGGTGTAGGTTGTGAGATAAACGCAGCCTTGGGTGAAGGAGAAGGTCTGAACACAGACTGAGGGGCGGGTGTGCTTTGTGAGTAGGTCGGTCTGTAGGTAGTGGTGACAGGGCGAGCTCTAGGAGTAGTTCTCACAGGCACTCGAGCAGGTACATTCTCCTCTTCCTCCTCTTGGGAAGAAGCACTGTTGTAGTTTTGCTGGAACAGAGTGGTCGAGGGTCTAGGTCTCAAGGGGGTGGGTCTTCTCACAGGAATATTCTGAGGTACGTTCTCCTCCCCACTGTCAGGAAGCTGTGGCTCCTCTTCCTCCTGGTTAGGAGCATTAGGATCACAAGGGTTCCCAGAGACGTAGGTGAATTCTCTCTTGTTGCCGTCAGGGTCGACGTAGCCGTACTTGCCCCTCACTACACAGTCAGTACCTCGGGTCTCTTCCTTGAAGCTTCCATCAGCTGCTTCGTAGCCGAAGGTGAAGGATCCGTCGTCGTTGAGCTTGTTGTAGTTGCGGATGGTCTGAACCGGAGGCTGCTTTGCAGTTTCTGGCTTGAACCTCGGGTTGATCCTTGCTTGTCCTGAGGGACGTCCGTAGGTGTCCTGCCGCGATACCAGGATGGGAGCCCCTTCGTCCTCGTCCTGCTCTGCGTAGTACTCCGCCTGACGGGTGTCCTGGTCCACCACGGCGGCTACCGGCCTCACTCGCACCGTGCGAGCGTGAGCCGCTACGACCAGCAAACTGAGTAATAGGAGCTGCAACAAATACATCACCCTATTATTGTCACTTTATTAATAGCTGTATTGAAATATTTTAATTTTTCAACATAATCGTAACGTGTGCATAAGAACAGAAATTAAAATTAAACCATTTATTTGAAACAAAATGTATTCATTTCAAAGTGTATAATTGAACATCTGAGAACGATGTTGTCAAATAAAAGCAGATTCATTGTCATACCGACTTCACTCAGTTATTACTTATTTGCCCTATTTTAGAACGGATCTGAATCAAATCGTACTTAAAACATACAATTTTATAAAGAACACATTAAAAGCATTTCCATTTACATATTTCAAGGCCCTAAATAGATTTCGCGACTGCTTAACATATTCAAATTGATATTCCCCTGTTCCCAGAGCGTGTTAACTAAATGCATAGACCAAGGATTGCACAGTCTCACATCCTGTAATCACAAACACCCTGAGAACACAGGGCCTTGCAACGCAATGATTTACAAGGTGGTTTCTAAGAGGAAGTCCTTTTTCGCAAAGTAGACACCTCGACATCCTGACTCCACGACCTGAACTCTGTTCTCGATCCATAATTGCGGCAATGTTCACCTTCCTTCAGCTCTGTTATCACTGACGATTTCCATATGACTTATCTCCTAGAGGACATCCTCGAGTCATCTGAGGCCCGAAGAACAGACTGTACCTCGTCCTTGGACACGCATTGTTGACCTGACTGTACACAGACTCGCCAGTCTTACTTTTACTGTAACTACAGCTGTACTTACATTTAGTTCGCTGTAAACAGGCAGTAAAATCAATACGCAGGGTGTAAGAACCAGTCTTTATTGGTCACAGTTGTAGTTAAGAAATTTCCTGTTTTGCAGGAAGTGGTTCTTGATTGGCTTGTGAATGGGGTTAGATACATACAATAGGGTTTAAATTATGTTTTGTTGAAAACTACTAAGCACAAGCTGAAAATAGTGTATCATAGGCTACTAATAAACCTACAATTGCATTTCAAAATTTGACTGTAGACAGTAAAAAAGAAGAATACCTACTTTACTAAGCAAAGAAAAAACTGAACCGTTAACTGTCAAAATAAATTTTTATAATAAATTTTTTCCCCAATAGTACCAAAATAGAGAGAGCCAATAGAGGCCATAGAGCCAAAAGCACATGAATAGTTACAAGACCATCCAAACAATAACTACTATGAAAACTAAGGGCATTCCTTCTTCTCCATCGTTTGTGTCTCTTTAAACACAACAGTAATTTTGACCAAATTGTAATTTTGAACAAGAAAGATTCCAATTACAGTTTGCTTAACTTATCAATAAACACATTTTTTCATTAAAATACTGTAATGCTTATCTATTTAGTAAAATAGCTTATTCCATACATTTGAAAATTCGCTAAACAAATCCTGGATATTTCTCTTAATCGGATTGACGTTTTTCTATTTTGGAGAAATCCCTTCCCTAAATACTATACGTAATGTTAAACAAATTCTATATTATCATAATGTCAATCCAAAGGCACTAAAACGATGTTGCATTGCAATAAAGTATGTATAAATCGTTTACGCATTTTTGGCTGCAAATTAATAGTGTGGTTGTAAGAGTGAGTGTTTATTATTTCTTATTATGCTCGTTTCTAATGTACAGTTTGAAGGCATACAATGAAAATTCACTTCTACAACAAAGTTCAAACTTGTATAATCGGTTATTAACAACGTACATGAGTGTAATAATGAATGAAATGGAACTTGATGCAGCACAATCGAAGAGAAAACTAAACCTTCCCAAGACATGCAGTCTGCAACTCCACTTTCATACAATTTCATCGAACCGGTTTGAAAGTTTCGAAATGCATTTAAGTAGCCGCTAAATCTGCATACTTCAATAAACAGAGTGGATGTGGTTTAAATGAATGCAGGGCTATCTAACCCAAATTTTAGATGCCAATAAAGTTGCAGAATTTCATGATTGGGTCATGGACAACGTGATTCTTGACCCAATTGGATGAGCAATCGATTGCGATTATTAAAGACACGTTTTAGTTTTGTATTTTTATCTGGTAAAACTCATTGAACATTTACAAAAATTAAAAAGTGAAACGAATATTATATTGTATTTGTTATGAATGTGGATAAACGAAGAAAACATGTGTGAACATCTTGAGTCGTCATACAATTTATCAGAAAAAATATTGTCTTTGCAACAATATGATCACAAACATAACTTATTATTGAACAGTCTAAGGAAGGGGAGAGGTAAATTTAAGATCAATACACGAACCAGAGAATATTCTGTATTAAATAATCCGTAGCAAAAATCTAAAAAAAAAAATCTGATTTCAATTGCATCAAATTATTTTATCAGTGAACGATTTCTTTGGCATTCAGTGACACAAAATGAATGACATTCAGACTACAAATAATTTATTCACTCGAATTTCCCTGTTTAACTCAAACTGTAACAAAATTGACTTTTATGTGGATCAATCTGTTTTATCGCAAGTTTGTTTATAGTTTGTTCATCTTTAGTTTCAGTGTGACTGACTCATTATCACGTAATATCCCAGTAAGTTGATATACATTTAAATAAAAAGAATAAAAGTAACGGTTTAATTTGTTTTCAATTAGGCTGTTTATTTAACTTATCAGCTGTTTAATTTACGTCACAGAAATCCAAATTGAGGTCGGATAGTTTTAATAACTGCCAAAAACCAAATTAACACCCTGTTTTTGTATTATCCGTTTAAACAAGTAATCTTTTCAAGCCAAACCATTTATGATCTTTAATAGTAGTCCTACACATTTGGTTTCTGATAAGTGAAAGCTGATTTCGGTTGGTCGGAGATAATACGATAACTGTACGATTGGCGTAATCGGTAATCAGTTGTAGTAATCAGAGAGCGGTCGTCCTTGAGACAGAATCGCTAGGAAACAACAAAGGTCGGCAACATTCCTCATCAGCTGTTTTGCTGATCTAACTGTATCAATGACGTTGCAGTTTGATTTGCTGTATTTCAATGACTCGTCTATCAACTTCCTAGATCACATGCCAGGCCATGACGTTTACGAGGTAGTACAACGATAGTTGTAATGTACTACTGGCAAATCGCAGTTACAACTTGAGAGAAATCTAGCTCTGTAGGAAAACACTTTAAGGAAACACAAGTCCAAGAGGTCCCGAATTTAAGTTATTATTGCAAAACAATTTATAAAGTTGACTCGTCATGTGATAGACCTAGGTTAGAGACGACAGCTAAGCTTAGGCAAGGGACCGCGTCTCGTTGTCCCTCCGTCTCGTTGTCCCTCCGTCTACTTGTACCTCGAGGCCTAGGGACAACTAGTCGTAGGTACAACTAGACGTAGGTACAAGTAGACGGTGGCTCACCCGACTAGTTGTACCTGCAGATTTTTAGGAGGTACAACTAGACGCAGGTACAAGTAGACGTAGGTACAACTAGACGTGTATCCCACCGACAAGTAGTATCACCTAGCTTGTACGGATGCGACCAGTTGTCCCTACGACTAGTAGTCCCTACGACTAGTAGTCTCTACGACTAGTGGTCCCTCCGTCTAGTAGTCCCTACGTCTAGTTGTACCTACGCGTATTTTGCGTCCTTATAGTCTAGTTGTATCTATCCTTCAATTCGTTACCCTGTTTAATTGATTACTGCACGAGTACTTTTTAATAATACCCTTAATTAAATCAGGAACTGCAGTGTTCCGAGTCGATTTAGTACGATTGGCAAATATTTTTCACCGCAATACGATGTTTTAGTAGTTTTACAGACGTTAATTGGAGGCTGAAAGCTACGCATTGCTTTCCAGGGTCGAAATGGCAGCTATAGTTGTGATTAAAATTTTCCAGCCCTAGTACCGAAAATCGCTTATTTAATTAAAAAATTTATATATATCGTTAAATATACAAGCAGTATATCCCTAATGAATTGCAATAGACCGCTGCCCAGCAATTATGTATTACTATTTTTGCTGATTCCTTTAAATATTTTTTCACATAACCTTAAAGTATTTGCATTGATTAGTGTGCATATCCTATAGTTTACAATGGATTTCCCAGTGATCAATGAACAATGAAGTGTACAATGAAGTTGAGGTCCAGCGGTTGAAAACTCGACAAAAACTATGCAATGTCCTACACATACTTCTCCATTTAACATACACTGTAAATAATAAATGTGATTGGAATATGTTCCATTTGTTTTGATTTTATTTTCATAATTAGTTGTTATTTCGTCACCAGCATAGCAACCCGTTAAACCCATGTTAGTTTTAAACATTTGTAATTCTTTTTTTATGTCTTTTTAGCCTATTTTAATTTATAAAGGCATTCTGTAGATCGACAGGAAAATACATTTCCACCGATATGCGGATATTTTCTCTGTGATGTTCACGAGCTGATAAAAAGGTTGTAAAGAAACATGCTTGCCTACATTATTGATATATTTTCTCAGTTTTGTATAGTTTGGTGAAAAACAGCAATCGTGCCACGGGCCGATTTCATCTTCGTCTCGAACTTAAAAATGATCCCGAGCTGAAAAAAGTCATTTTCGGCCCTAGGTACGAAATATACTCTTAAACTATCGTAGGATCGGTGAATACTAAACTCTATCTTGGAATTGCATACACTCGCTCCTATCTTTAAGTTTACGTTGTTGCCATACAATAAATGTATAAATAAACACAAAAATTCACAAGTTTTGTTGTAAGTACCTATATCATGTATAAATAAAAACATACAATAGCATCATGTGTAAGTGTATTCTGTAAAACTTTAAACAAATACTAGTTGCTCTGCCCGTGCTTCGCTACGGGGTTAGAATGCAGAAAAGAATAATTCAGTTTTACTTTAAGATACTATAGTATACTATAAGAAACAGTTACAACACACTTACCAGGAAACGTATAGGCAAAGGCTCAATCGTGCTTATTGATTATTTAAATGAAGATCTCTTAATGTATTACAATACTATAATTTTATATAGTGTAT